TATGTCTGTGTGTGTCTGTGTGTGTGGTATGGCATGTGTGTGTGTGTGTGTGTGTGTGTGTGTGTGGTGTGTGTCTGTGGTGTGTGGTGTGTGTGTGGTGTGTGGGTGTATGTGTGTGTGTCTGTGTGTATGTGTGGTGTATGTTTGTGTAACCATGAATACAAGTTTGGTGCTCATCGCTGGAAACAGCTAATGACTCCAGAGCAGGTTGTTGGGGCAAAGAAAAAATACCCTGACCTTGGGTTTGCAGGCCGCTATAGTGAAATATGAGTGCACTTGGGGTAAGTGGACTTCAGGATCTAAACCAGCAGTGGTCTTCTCTGATGTGTGGAATGCTGTTCACTGTGCTGACCAGCTGTTTTGGATTCTGAAGTCTAAAGTAAAGTCTCTGCCAGGCATGGTGGGACACACCTGAGGTCCCAGCACTAGGGAGGTAGAGGCTAGAGATCATGGTTCAAAGCCAGCCTCGTCTACTTAGTGAGTTGGAGACCATTCTGGCCTATGTGAGACCCTGTCTCAAAAACCAAAACCAAACCAAACCAAACAAATCTACAACTCCTGTTTTTTTGGAATTGCTTGCTCTGGGAGAAGTTAATTCTGCAGCTAATTATAAAATAGAAAATACTGCTCTCCAAAGAGTGAGAAAGATTGCGAAGGACTACTTTGCTGGAAGACCCTGGGGGATAGAGAAGAGCAACTTCTTCTGGAGGGCCAGAGACACGCAACTGTAGCCAGGCTAGATAGTGAAATGCAGTTTTCACACAACAGGGTGGCTTCGTGCAGAGTGTCCCTTGGAGCAAAGCCAACGTGAAGCCAGGAGTAACATGTCGATGGCTGCGATGGCTGCGTAGTCTCCCAAACTAATGACTTTGGAATCAACTGAAGGGTGTGGAGGTAGAAGCTTATTTAAGTTCCCATTAAGTAATGTGTATATGTGTTTGTGTGTGTCTGTATGTGTATGTGCGCATTTATGTATGTGTGTGCATGTGTGCACATATGTGTTTTGAAAGTGACAGAAAGGGAAGTAATAGATGGGGAAATTTATGAGATCCGGGGGTAAGTCCTAGGGAGTCCTTGAAGGCTGTAGACCAAGAGTGACACCGTTTGAGTGGGTGGGTGATTGTGAAAGACAGCCCAGGAAGGAGGGAAAGACTCCAGGCAGGGAGACCTGTTCTGGGAGGAGGTGAGCCCACGCACCTGTTAGTACTCGATTATATTCCAAGGACACACAAGACAATGAGGTATGGCTCCTGTCCCCAGAAGGATCCATTTTAATGGCAGGGGCTGAGGATGGAGGTGGACAAGGCCCCTACATAAGAGCCAGGAGTCAAGCTGGGCTGGTGGCCGAGGATCAAAAGAGAAAGATGCAGGGACTGTGAAAGAACCTGCATGAGAAGGAGGCAGAAAAGTCACCAGGTGCTTTATGTACACCATTAGTCACTGCTCAGTTCCCTGAGGCTTTCTCTTGAATTCTGGAGCCGTGGGGAGCTTTCAGATGGCGTGTGGTTTGGAGGGACTGTGAGCACTGAGAAAGTCTGTCAGACATCTCCTCTGAAGGGGTTTCCTACCCTGGAACAGTGGCTCCCACTCCTAGGTAGGGTCTCTGCTGAAGGGGTGGGGTGGAGAGCAGACTTGAATGCAGACAGAACCCTGCGGCATTGCGATTCCCAGCAGCAGAGTGAAGAGCCTCCATGGTGGACATTCGGCTTGCCCTGTAGGTGGAAGTCAGGGCAAACAGCTGTGATCTCTCCACTGCTTCTGAAGATGCCTGGACCTGGAAGGCACTATATGGTGGACAGAGGATCAGCATCCCTGGGCTGTCCACAAAGGTCAAGCTGTCACTTATCAGGATGGATGAGATGCTTTATATCATCTATGGTGGCCCCTCTGGCCCAAGGTTCACCTTCCCATTAATTCTTATTCTCCATCTTTAGATGGGCTCTAGAAACTACATAGTGTCCACCTCACGGAAGGCTCCATCCCACCCTGCAGTCCAGCTGCTCGCTGCCAATGACTGGAGGGCTTCACTTTCTAACCCTGCCTCTGCCCTCTTCCTGGCCAGTCTGAGAGCGTTTCCCCTTCTGCAAGGGCCATGGTGGCTCATTCAGGCCCCATCAGGACTGAGACTTGCTTGGCTCCTGTGACTCTATTTCTTCTTTACACATCCTATGACCTTTGTAACCCCATTCCTTCTAATGATTCTAAAAACACAGAGAGATGGGAGCCCTCTGCCCAGTGCCATTCTGTCTCTTCATGGGTCTTGTTGCTGGGTATCTGGAGCACTGCCTGGAGCCACCAGGCACACAGATGCCTGCCTGTCTCTTCCAGAGTCCCGCAAAGAGTGGTTCTTTCTATACAGCCCAACCCAAGAGAAGTTCTTCTTAAAGTCTCACTGGTGCCGGGCGGTGGTGGCGCACGCCTTTAATCCCAGCACTCGGGAGGCAGAGGCAGGTGGATCTCTGTGAGTTCGAGGCCAGCCTGGGCTACAAAGTGAGTTCCAGGAAAGGCACCAAAACTATACCGAGAAACCCTGCCTCAAAAAACAAACAAACAAACAAAAAGCCAGTCTCACTGGCATCTGCCTGGATGCCCCTAAAAGTCTCCAGCAGGGTTTCCTGCCTCAGGACAGCCAGTGAACAGCAGGTCAGTCAGCATCCTCCACTCACAGAAGAGCAGCACATGGAGAGCCGTCTCTGCATTTCACTGACTCCCCACGCAACATCGATTTTCAGTCACTCTCCAGCTGAACTTGTGAGAATTATTAGTTCTTTGTGTTCCGCTTTCCCCAGTCCAAACTGAGACTTCTCGCTTCATGTTTCCCCCTCTTATTTATTTTTTAAACCTGTCTAGCCTTGTTATAAATGGTCGGCGGAACTTCCTCCAGCCCGTTTATGCTTCAGTCCTGAGGCAACACTTAGTGTTCTTGCCTTGGAGAACTTAAATAAAAAATAAAAATTAGTGGGGGCTGGGGAATGAGTGCTCTGATTCATGGGAGACCTGGAAGGAAGGCCCTGCTGTTTTGATTGAGTAGGTCTGTGGTGACTCTCCTTGCCTCTCTCAGAATTTTCTCCCAGGTAATAAAGACGCTGAGCAGGGGCCCCACACTTTGTGAATGACTGGAGGGAGGTAGCAATGCTTGCCTGGCCACCGCAAGCCGTTCTAACTTGCTTTGGTCTCCTCAATCACTCTTGTCTCAACCTTCAGCCCCTTTGGCCTCCTCCCCAGCAGATGGACCTTCCTGGTTCAGTTCTGGTCAGATTTGGATTCAATTCCACTCACACCATTCTCCAAGCGTCCTTTACCTTAGGAAAGATGGAGGAGGGAGTTGAGAGGGTGGTGGGTGGGTCTGGAAGTCACCCCAAAGTAGTGGCTAATCCAGTTTCTCTAGGGGTAAAGCTACTGGGCCCCCGAAAGACAGAGGTTGTCAGCCTCCGGCTTCTTTCTCCTCTGGGCTACAGGAAGTGGACATTTACACTGTGAAGACGGAAGAGCTGTCCTTCACATCTGCCTTCTGCCTGCAGATTCAGCGCAACGACTACGTCCACGCCCTTGTCACCTACTTTAATATTGAATTTACCAAGTGCCACAAGAAAATGGGCTTTTCTACAGGTGAGCTCTCCATTGGTTTTCTGTGACTTCCCCTCTGTGCTTCCTTGAGGCTTATGGGTAGGAACCGGGGCTGGCCTTAACTTGGCCAGACATCAGTTGGGGCTGTGACCTGGCATCTCACGAGCTTTCTCCATCTGAGGAGAGGATGTAGCCCCGACTCTCTTGACTTCCCAAGGAGAAGGTAAACGTGATAGAGGTAGAGTTCCCAGAGCTGAGAGCTGGCATGGCTGTCACCAGGAATGCACTCTGGCCTCCGCTTTGCTCTTCTATCCTTGTGGTCTTTAAGGGAAGAATTCCTACGACACATGGTGTAGTTACACAACACAGGCGAGCTCATTGTAAAACAACATGAGGTGCTTTGGAGGGTGAGAGTGGAGAGCGACCAAAGAGACCACTGTGGGGGGAGACACTCTGGAGGGTCAAGCGTGAACAGTGCTGAGGGAGGTCGGCATTCTGACTTCCGTCCTTAGGTCTACCTTACACTGTGTCTTGTGTTTGAATGTTCCTGTGTGCTCACTTGTGTGAGCACAGGAGAATGGAGGCTGTCCCAGTCAGCTTTCTGTCGCTGTGATAAACACCATGGCCAGAAACAATGTGGGGAGGAAAGGGTTTATTTAATACTACAGCTATTGTTGGTCACTGGGGGAAGCCCAGGCAAGAACACAGAGACAGGAACTGAAGGAACGCTGATTATTGGCTTGCTCTCGGGTTCACATTTCCCTCCTTTTTTTATGCATCATAGATACACCTGCCTAGGGTTGGTACCATCCACAGTGGCTGAGTCTTCCCACATCAATTAACCACCAAGAAAATACCTCGTAGACATGCCCACAGGCCAGTGCAATGGAGGCAATTCCTGTCAGTTCAGAATGGCATGTCTCCACCTGGGGCCAGAGATAAACTTCTCATTGTTTTGACTAATCATCCAAGTCTTGCTGTCTCCGTCCCTGGGTTTACAAGCTGCTGATAATGTGGGAGGGCTCATCCCCATCACCTCCACCCTGCTCATATATGACTTAATACTGGGTGAGGGCAAGATAGGAGACATGGGCTGGGTAAGGAGATTCCCTTTTGAAAAATTTAATGTATTATTATTATAATGTGTGTTATGATGTGTGTGAGGGGTGGGTGTGCTGTGGTGTGCTTGTGCATGTGGAGGTCAGAAGACAACATTTCAGAGTTGATTCTCTCCTTCTACCTTTATGTGGGTTCCAGGGATCAAACTCAGGTCAATAGGTTTATGTGGTAAGAGTCTCTGGCTGCTGATCCATCTCAACTGTGTTTGTCCTCTGGAGATTTTTAATATATGTTTATCTGGTTAGCATTTGTGAAAAATTCTGTGTGAAGGGTAAGAACAGCATAGAGCTTCTGATAGAATCCCCTTCTGGCCCTAGGACAGCCCATATGCACAAGAGGGAATGTGTGTATAGCGTGCAGAGGTGATGGCCTCTATGCAAGACGACACATAACTCTCTCTGGGCTATGAACTGGCCTCTCTCTTTCCTTTCTGCTTTCCCCCCCTGTGTCCATTCATTAAGTCTGTGGTTGTGTTTCCAGAAGATGATTTCAACTATCTTGGTCTGCTTTTTGTTGCTATAACAAAACATTGGAATCTGGATAACTTATGAGAAATAGAAATTTATTTGGCTCACAGTTCTGGAAATTGCAAGTCAAAAATGCATGTTTAGGTGACACCTAATGAGGGTTCTGTGCTGCATCATAACATGGCAGAAGGTACCAAAGACAAGACAAAGAAAACCTGAGAGAGAGAGAGAGAGAGAGAGAGAGAGAGAGAGAGAGAGAGAGAGCTTTCCTGTATGGTAGGCCACTCCTGTGATGTGGTGACTGAATAAGAATGGTCCCCATAGGTTCATGTATCTGAATGCTTAGTCATCAGGGAGCAGAACTTTGGGGAAGGATTGGATATGTGGTCGCAGTGGAAGAGGTGTGTCACTGAGACCGAGCTTTGAGCTTTCAAAAGCCTGGACCAGTCTCTCTTTCTCTCTGTCTGCTATCTGTGGATCAGGTTGCAAAGCCCTGCTACTGCTCCAGCACCATGCCTGTCTGCTTTCCACCATGATAATCATGGACTCACCCTCTGGAACTATAAGCCAGCCCCTAATTAAATGCTTTCTTTCATAAGAGTAGCCATGGTCACGGTGTCTCTTCACAGCAATAGAACAGTGATTAAGACACATGATAACCCACAGGTCCATCCATCCATGAATAGATTTGTATATTCATGAGGATAGAACCCCAAGACCCAATTACCCACCCTGCCCCCTGAAAAAAAGATTTCAGCTCTCAGCATTGATGCATTCACTGAAGACCACATTTCCAACACATGAGCTTTGGCAGACAAATTCAAACCATGTCCTTTGTCTAGGCTGCCTTGAGAGGTGCTTCATTGCCTTCGGGCCCAGCAAGGGAGGGCTCCATGGCTTGGCCCTAGCCCCCTAGTGGGTCCTCAGACATCCCCTTGCTGGGCATGCCCAAGCTCTTTCCCATCACTCCCACCCACAGGACAGCCACTCTGGGCTCCCTCCAATGCCCTAGGCTCAGGGGACTTCATCACTGGGCCATTGTTTCTACATGTTCGTTTGGGATGTGACCCAGCAATGGGAAGGTCCTTTAGCAGAGGGCTCTTGATACCCCTTCTTTCTGCAATAGTCTGCTTGATCTGCCAGGACAAAGGTCCAGAGACTGAATGTCCTCCACGTGAGTTCCTGGAAACTGTGAGTGTGCCCTCAGGGGCTGAGTAGGTGTGCTAGTGGCACAGGGAATGTTCTAGCAGATGTAACCACTTATTTCTTAGATACATGGGGGCAGGAATGCCCTTTAACCTGTGAACAGGAGGCAGGAGACTTTTTAAGCATATCCAATGCCAGGCCAGGTGTGGTAGTACACACCTTCAGTTCCAGCACTTGGGAGGCAGAGGCAAGTGGATCTCTGTGAGTTTGAGGCCAGCCTGGTCTATACAGTAAGTTCCAGACCAGCCAAGGATACAGAAGCCTTGTCTCTAGACAAACAAATGAACAGACAAACAAACAAACACAAATCTTGTCCAAATCCCAGAAAGTTTTCTCCTAAGTCCAGCACTCAGCTTCTGATTACAAAGACTAGTATCTCCTGGGCTCTGTCACCTAGGCCGGACTGGTGCTCTCTTGGCCCTGGGTAAAACTAGAGATTCCCCCACTGATGGGACCATTGCTGAGGGCTGCCCTCCTTCAAAGGTCAGTAGGTGAGCTGAGCTCTTTTTTCCAGTGTGCAGGAGCAGCCTGGAGAGGGGAAGTCAGATTCTGCTTGAACTTGAAGGATAAAGGAGACTCAGTCTAGCAATGAAAAGGGGAGGCTGGTAGTGAGGGGACCATGATGTCTAGCTCTGTCTCTCCCACCTCCCAATGATGATAGTGCAGAGCCTGCCCTGTGGGTGACGAGAGAGCCAGCGGCAGGGGCACTCTGGAAAAAGCTGTGGATGTCTAAAGCTGGACCCTGACCCATGACTCTTACTAAGGCTTATCTTTCTTGAAAGTGATTTGCTTCTGGTCCCAATAGCCTACTGGACTTCTGTTTAGAGTTGATTCCCTGGCTCTGTAGTGGCAGGATTGACATTCTGATGGCCCCATAAGGAGGAGGCTTGGTTAAAGCTCAGCCAGGACTTCAGACTGTTGCTTCTGGGCTTCCTGAAAGAAGGTGAGGATTTGAAGTGTGTAACCCTAGGCTCAGTCCCCTCTGTCTGTTGGCCATCCCCTTACCATTACTCGGCTTAAGCTGAAAGCCCAGGTGGAAGGCTCTTCTCTGCCTTTGAGCCATTAACAAGCCATAGTCCCTCTTGTTTGCACAGAACTCTGCAAAGCTGGGCTCTAGAAGGATGTTCATAGGTCCTAAAATCTTTGATTCCTGTGTCTCTGTGCAGTGACTCTCAAAATATAGTATGTGGACAGCAGCCTCAGCACCACTCGGTTCTGGGAAAGCCTCACCCTAGAACCATCAGTTCAGAAACTCTGAGGGTGACCCAGCCTTCTGTACCTTGGCAAAGCCTCTAGGTGGCCATGGTTCCTACTTGAGTTTGAGAAGCACTACGAGACCATCTTGAACGAAACAGTTGAGAATTCAACTATGCCTGACTCCCTACTGGTAGGGCAAGCCTGTCTCCTCACCAAGGCATATCCTTTGTGCTCACCCAGTCTCCATGCTGCTTGTAAACTCTTACCCTGCTTGCTGAAAACCAGAGGAAATGCGGTTGGTTAGTCTCTTAGCCCTCTCGGGAGATGAGCATCAGTTTAGCGTGTCAAAGACTTTACTAGACTGTGTGGACTTGGCAGCAGACTCTACTCAGAGTCTTCAGTCTGGCCACTGGCAGAGTAATTTTTTTTTGCTTGTTTTTCAGGCTCATAGGTGCATACAATTTGATAAATCCCAATGTTTGGTTCAAGACATGCTGTCACAATTGGACAACCTATGCATGATTCACTTTTGGCTTATTTGTTTATTAATATAATGAGTACCCATGAACTTACCACCTAACTTAATAACTAGGATGGAGATTAATTATTAACTAGAATGGAGCTAAATTATTAACTACAATGCAAAAGAGTAGCTGGAAACAAATTTATTATTATTTCTGTTGGAATGTAAGTGCACGAGCTGTTGAGTAATACTTAATTAAAATATAAATATCAGCTAAAATGGATGATGAATAAATGATATATGGTTATATTTATAATTAATAAATGTAAATAAACTAATTCGTATTCACAGAACTCCCTGTGAGCCCACCTCAGAACTTAGTGGCTTAGTTGCTATTGGTATCTCTGAATGTTTTATCTAAATGTCCCATTTCTAGCCATCCCATCCCTAAATTAAGTAGTCCTATGTCCTGGCTATCGGAAAAGAGTTTTAAAGCAATCATGCATGGGCAAAAACAAGATGTTGATGGTGGGAGTCTGTGGATGCATTCCTCCCCTCCCCAGCAGGTGCCCCTCCCTGTTGGCTCCCCACTGAGTCTTCCATCTCAGACCCAGCGCGGCCAGCTCTGGGGGATCCACTCAAAAAAGCAAATCACATACTGTGTAGCTTGAAAATGCTGCTGCTAATCGTTCTGGCTGCTTTACAGCATCAGGCAGAAGTGCCCAAGGTTCCAGGCTCTGCCAGCCAGAGGCACAGCTGTCCCTGTCCCCTTGAACTCATCCTCTGTGAGGGTGGGAGGAGATTTGCTGCTGCTGCTGTTCCATCCAGGAAAGCCGTGGGGTGGGTGGAAGGCAGTGGCCCTAAGGGAAGCTGGCTTCAAATATCAGGTTTTCCGAGGTACGATGATAGTCACCAGAGATGCCCTTGAGCAGGTGACTTTGTGGGCCTCAGGTGGCCTCTTTCCCACTTTGCTATCCCATGGCACTGAGTCATTTTCCAGGTCAACAAAGGCTCTCCGTGCACAGTCTTTAATTTCCAAGAAGCTCACTGGACAACACAACTCTAAATATACAGCTGGAAAACGTATAACCTACAAAGAAACACTAACTACTTGACCACTAGAAAGTGAAACAGGAAGCAGAATTCTCTTCCTCAAAGCACAAGAGGATCATTTCATGAGAGGCCACTCCCAATGGCTCTCATGGCTCCCTGTGTTTCCATTCCTCACCCAAGATCATAGCTTCCACAGTCCTGCTTGCACTATCCACTGCTTGCCTGATGGTCTTCTAAGGGTGTAGGGTCTACAGGAGGGATGAGGGTGGGAATGCAAAGCTGTGTTCATCTTGGGCATTGCTGGACAAATTCAGGGCCATGCCTGGCACATGACAGGCATCCTAAGCCAAAGATCTTTGTATACACGTTCTTATACCTGCAGTATTGCAAACAGTATTGGCCATACTCACCATAAATATAGAGTGAAAATCAGCAGTAATCTAGAACCAGGATGCTGGGCTGGCATGTGGATCCAGAATATTCTCAAAAGGAACTCATCCTCATAATGACTGAAAGCTGTGCCATCCTGGATTGTGGGTTGGGACTGGGAAGAGGGGAAAACTTAGTCACAGACAAAGAGAGCTTTAGACATCATTCACAGCCCTGAATGCATGGTGTAGTGTGAGTACCACCCCATGCATTGCGGCATTCCAGATATAACTCAGGCATTGTAGAGCACCGGTGTGAGGCAGTGTATCTTTGCAGGTATCCCTCAGTTTATGGATGGGTACTTACACACCAGTTCATGAAATGACTATCAGCTGCCACGGCCTAGCCATCCCCTAATGTGGTTTTGTTATAACTAATCGGTTCTAAGTGGGGTGTCCATATGAAAAGCTTTTATTAAGGATGTTTTGTCAAGCAAGATGGTGAGCTAGTGATGATTGTGCTGGGTGAATGGACATGAACTGTGTCCCCAGGCACAGAGGGAGGTATGGTCACTCTTTACGATCCCTCTCACCCTTATAGTACCTCAGGGGATAAATAGCATGACCTATAGGTCCATGTGGTGGTGCAGGATTTCCAGGGTCACAGTACAAACCTGTGGCAAAAGGAATATAGAACTAGGTGGGGCCTGTTGTCCTTCCCACTGCATCTACCCAGGAGGATGCGAAAGAAGACAGCCACTTTAGCCATGGGGGCAGATACTATGTCTTGGCATGTCTGACCCCTCTGTGCATTGCCTCCCCAAAATTGTTGAATTAGAAATGCAAAACCAAGCAGAGCCAAGCTTCTAAATTCTGCTGTTTCTACTGGACACAGTGGAAAACTCAGATGAGAAAAGATGTTGAGACAGTTAGGCCATGGCTACTGGTTCCACTATGGAAATGACATTTGGAAAATCTTTTAAGACAATTCCTTCCACCCAGGGATGCCATGCATGCCTTGGGCCATTCCCTGGAAGCCAACTGGCCTCACTGGCCAGCAGACCTAAGCCGGTGAAGCTCGGATCCTCAACATCTCTGATTGGGTGATAAAGGAGGCAGCTCGAATCCCCTTAACTGAAGGTCTTTAGGAACACCTGCCTGAGTGGGTGGAGGTGGAGACGGGGGTGAGAGTGCTGTCACTCACACTCCGGCATTCTGCACACACAGCCAGAACTGTCTTTTGACAGTTTATTTAGAGATAATTGGCAGAAGCGTGCTGAGAGCAGGTGGTCTGTAGACAGCAGCGTGCCTTGCAGGCTGGGTGCTAGGTGGGCTGGAGGCCCCAGGTCTGCATGGGCACAGGCTGTGGTCTCTCGCTCCTCCTCCCCCTCCAGATGCTCCGGCTGTGCTTTCTCCTGTGACCTTGGGTTTTCATTGATTGCCAAATGCACACACTGAAGGCTGCCCTAGTCTCCATCTGACCACTGACATTTGATCAAGCCAGCTCCAGGCAAACAACAAAGGGAAGGAAGGGCCTCTCTGCTGTCGTTAAAATAGATCTTGGGGTTTGGAAAGATATTTGAGGTCACCCTGTCTAACTTGGTGCGTGACAAATGAGCTCACTGCGAGTGGTGTCCTCAACACCTCGGGGAGGAATGAGCAACTCAGTTCCCACGGTTGTGAGACAGCTCCAGTTCCTCCTGCAGATGCACAACTGACTCCTAGTGATTCCCCAAGGCGCATGTAAGGCAGAATCTCCTATGCAGTCTTCCATGTGTTTGAAGGACCCTTATGTCCTTCCCAAGTCTTGTTGCTGTTAGCATTGGTTTTAGGCAAGAAGCAAAGTCCACTGGGGGAAGATGAGGGTCTCAGCCAAGAGGCTCTCACCCTAAAGTGAGTCTCCTGTGGCCTACCGGTTTCAGTTAAGCATCTTTAGGCACATCACACATCTGTGTGATGCTGTGCTTTGGGCTCTTGACACTGTCCACTTATCGGTGTCCACTTGATACTCGACTCCGTACTTCTAGATTAAATTTGGGGAGAGCTAAGCAGTGCTAAGCAAGGCTGGCCTGGCTCTGCTCTCTAGGAGTCTGCGAAGGATGTAAACAAGTGAAGGGGAGGCATTCATTCTGAGGCATGCTAGGCATTGTGATGACATCCGTTCTGGATGCCCTTGGAGCACCAGATAGATCCAGGCTGGAGTGGTCCAGGAAGGCTGGCCTTGAAGGATGAGGATGTAGTGAGTAGGGAAGGGGGAGAGTGCTCCAGAGGCAGTCACTGCCAAAGAAAAGGACTGTATCCAAAGACACAGGGCCCCTCCCAGTCAGCTGGAGACCACATGAGATCCAGTGGCAAATACCCAGGAGATGTGAGCATCACAATGGCCTTGAACTATGCGGGAGGGGGTGGGGGTCTGTGGAGTAAGAATCCCCTTCTTTCTGGTCCAGTTGGGAAGGCACAGCTGGAATCTTACAGCAGGACTGGGCCAGGGTGCTGGGTGCAGCACTGGAGCAAAATCCCAGGCAAGTGAAACTACTTGAAGGATGCAGGAGTAAGAAGGAGGGGTGTTGGTAAAGCTGGGAGACTGGTTGAGCTGTAGAGTTTGCATGAATGGTGTCACAAATCTACAAATGATGGAGATGGGATGCTCTGCTCTATACATCTTACACTCCCGAGTCTTTACTGCACTAACACAGGATCACAGGGAAGAGGCCCATTTATGCTAATGGGATTGGTTGCTGAGGGAGCTTTCAGAGTACCAGCTGCTCCCTGGTACAAGGCTGCCTCTCTTCTGACCCCTTACTGAGATCACCAGTTCAATGGGGCTGAAATGTGAGGAAGGGCACTGGGGCCGAGTCTGGAGTTCTGGGGCTTGGACTGTACACCTGGCCCCTTTTAAGTGTTGGTGTATGGGCAGAAATCACTGAGTCTCCCATGAAAGGATTGGTGCTGGCACAAGACACCCCAAGCCCAAGTTTTCAGCACAAAAGGAGATTTATTTGCACCAGAGAAACAAAGGACAGGGAATAAGAGACAAAGACAGGAAATAGAGGACGAAAGGAAGGGAGCAAAGGAAAGGGGGCAGGGGCGCTTGTCCCAGCGAGACAAAGGACTGCCTCTGGATAGAGAGGAGACAGCTGTGGTGTAGAGGCAAGTGGCCGCTTATAATGGGAAAGGGGGAAACCCAGTGTTAGGATGAGTTGGTTAATTTTGAATTAGGCATGTTAATAAGGCGACCCCAGGGGGGCTTTTGATTGCTAGGCTTTGATACTTTGCTAGCTGGACCTTGGTGGTCAGCCTCAGGAGAAGGAAGTGGCCAAATAAGGGAATGGACCTTGGTAGCTGGCTTTAGGAATGTAATCTAATGGTTTAGCAAGGTAGAGGGAGGGCTGGAGAGATGGCTCCTCGGTTATGAGCACTGGTAGTTCTTCTAAAGGTCCTGAGTTCAATTCCCAGCAACCACATGGTGGCTCACAACCATCTGTAATGGGATCTGAAGCTCTCTCTGGCATGCAGACAGAGTACTCATATTAAAAAAAATACATAAGCAAGGTAGAGGGAACGGGGAAGAGCAAGGCCTGCCAGAGCCCTGTATGTCGTGCTCAGGCCTGTGTTGGCCATGCTTGGGCCGGCCAGAGCCCTTCCAGCATGGAAAGCTCAGGACTTCTGTGTGGGTCCTGGGCCTCAGCTGAATCTTGTTCATCTCTGACTCTCGCTTCTTCCCTCTCTTGTGTCCCTCTCCAGCCCCTGATGCCCCCTACACTCACTGGAAGCAGACCGTCTTCTACTTGGAAGACTACCTCACTGTCCGGAGGGGGGAGGAAATCTATGGGACCATATCCATGAAGCCAAATGCCAAAAATGTGGTGAGTCTGAGGGAGCCCTGCATGGCCATGACCACTGAGGGGAGCTCCCAGAAGTCACCTGCCCAGCCGAATGTCTTGTGTACAAATAGAAAAACTTCTGGAGGAGGCAGACAGCAGCTGTGTTTGCAGGTGACAGGGCCTAATTGATGATCTCTGTGTTGACTCTTTCTGACCCCAGTGGCTAGAGGCTTTCTAGACTCTGATCTCAGCCTTGAGGACAGCTCCCGGAAGCCCACAGGAGAGCCTTTGAGAACGGATGTTGTACAAATGGCTCTGCCTCATTTAGGGTGAGCTGAGCCAGTAAATGCAAGAGTCTGCTATAGGAGTGTTTGTTGGGCATTCCTCCAGCTGACCTGGTGAGACCTTGCTGAGGTGTCCCTGTATCTGCACAGACACTCACAGTCTGCAGGGTGTTGAGGGTGGTGTCGAGCCAGACCCAACACCAACCTCAGTTATCACCTAGATGAAAGAAATCCCAGGACTGCTTTCGTGTGAGGACAGGAAGGCTTAGGTTAGCTGTCAGAGTCCTTCCCGTGAGGATCATGGGGCACCAGAATGCATTCCTGAGGACTGTCCATGGAGACCCCTTAGCTAGAGATGCCATGGCTGCCTGTCCCTGTGGGCTTCAAGAGAAGTCCTGTGCCCGGGAAGGGCTACGATCCCCTACCTAGACTCACACTGTGGCCCTTTGCTCTTTCCTCACAGCGAGACCTCGATTTCACAGTAGACTTGGATTTTAAAGGACAGCTGTGTGAAACATCTGTATCTAATGACTACAAAATGCGTTAGCACATGTGGGAAGCTGCAGAGAGCAAGCGAGAAGAGGCACTCACTTCAGCCTGCCACGCTGCCCCAGGAATACTGTTAGGAGGACCACACTCGACAACCAGAGCTTTCCACTCTGCCTTGAAGATTGGTGAACTTGCCAGGGCTCTCCGGGGCCCCACCATGACGGGGAGCCCCCAGCTCCTCTGCTCTGCCCCCGGAGCCCTTCACAAAGGCGTTGCTGTTGCCTGTTGTGCATTGGTGGGAGCTCCGAGGATGGAAACATACCCATGTGCCCCCATTGTCCTCCTAAACTGACTCTACGGATCTTCCAAGTTTTGCATGCTGCAGACATCTAGGACAGGTTGCTTCCACTAGAACCTGGAGACATAGTGTCTTTGATAGCATAAGCCAGATTTCCCGTCTGTGCAGTGGTGAGTGTGTGCGTGTGTATGTGTGAGTGTGTGCGTGCGCGCGCACGTGCTAGTGTGTGTGCATACAGCATATATATTAATTTCCTTGCCCACAAACATCTGTATATGCATGCATATACAACTAAGTGGGCGTACTTGGGCGTTCATTCTGAGGGGCGTGTGCGCATGTGTATGCGCGAGTGTGGATGTGTGTGCCTAGAATCTATATTACTCTCAGAGGAGGTTCTGTTGCTTTTGAATAGGAATTTGTTTCGTGATTAGTTTTCCCCACCCCGATCCCTTAACAGATGTTACGCAGCTATGAAACATTCTGTGTTCTAGCTCTGGTCTTGTTTTGACTAGACTGTGGCTCTGAATCCTGAGCACAGTACCACGGGCTCTGTGGGCGCTCAATAAACACACATGAGAACGAAGCAACGTGGGATACCTGTGTTCCTGATGCTGTGTGGGTGTAGGGGTGGGTGCAGGGGGTAGAGTGGGTGGTAGGAAGCCACAATGGGGCAGAAAACTGTGGAGTGCAGGCCCTGCCTGTGTTTATGTTTGCTCACTGGAAGTAAGTTCCATGGGAGCAGCTGGGAAGTTGTCAGTCCTGCACACCTTTCTGTAGACTGTCTAGGCTTGCCCTGAGGGGACACGAGAGTCCTGGAGCTGTGGAGGTGAGGGTGCTGGGGAAGGGGACAGGAACTGACCAACAGTGCTCTACACATAGCCAGGAAGCTACTTGAAGTCTGAAGGCCCTGGTCTGAGAATGGAAACAGAATTTCCACAGGATAGAAAGACAGTGTGCTTTGTCAGGCTTGGTGGAATACTTGGTCTTTGTTTCTAGATTATTCTTTGGCCTCTGGACTACCACCTGTGTTGTCTCCCATGGGAGAGACATTCCAAGTGCTGGGTAGGAAAGGGGCCCATTGAAAGATGGAGTCCATTGTGGAGTGATGGCGCCCAGGAGGGGTCAGATGCAGAGGGGCCTTGGGCTTGGCTGTGCACGGGAGAGGCATGCTGGTGATAGATTGTTCCAGGTGGAGCTGCCTACATAGAGTGAGTTACAGGGGTTGGTGACAGGGACAGCATATCCCAGCACGACCTGACTCTATGAAAGGCTCCCACAACCTTCTCCAGGACCCAGGCTCCAGTCCCCTGAGCGCTCTTCTAGGGGGATTTTAACATTTTTCTCTACTTTCATAAAAACCAACCTAGAAGGACTATCTAGAGAAGACCAAGCCTACATAAAGTCTATGGAGAGTCCTCAGACAATGACAAACAAATCCAATGGCAGTGTCTCTTTTGTTTCTAGAACTCTCTGTTGTGAATCTTGTCAACTTCCCCAAAGCCTTGGGAGACAGATGCCAAACCTCATCACCCCCTTCATAGCTGACAGATATTGGGACCCAGGGAGGAGCTGCAGAGTTGGTGCAGAGCTGGAGCTACTTCCACGGGCTCTTCCTGCCCTCGTTTGGTTCTTCAGAGCCTTGACCTAAAGTGTGAGACCCTCATTGTGTTTAGAAAAAAAATCAGTGAGAATTATATAATAATCTGCATATGCCAGATGAGAAAAATAGAGAAACTTAAGGGGAGGGCAAAACCTTGAGTTAGAAAAAGGAATTTAATTGAAAAGGGACATTCTGAGGGCATTGGAGGGAAACCTATTAGTGAGCTTCCATTACCAAATCTCTTGGAGAGATCCTGTGTTCTGCCTACCACAAGGGGCCCAGCCTTGAATCCCGCTTAAGGGAGATGCCTGCAAACAGGGCAAAGTCCCAGGTTGCCAGAACCCATAGGAGTCAACAGGTTGACCATCTTGTGAGTCACAGGTATCCATGACACCATTTCATCCTCTCCAGCTATCAGAGAAGAGGGCCATCCCAGTCTCCTCTCACCCCAGTCCTCATTTTCAGCCTCCTGGGGCTGCCCCAGACCCTGTCCTGTGGCCATCATTCTCTACCCATGGACCCCACAAAGGATTAAAATGACAGCTATGTCCCCTCCTGCTCCTGGGAGTCTCCAGTGGGAACTGTCCAAGTTTTTCTTTTGTTTAGGTTTTGTTTTGTTTTACTTATTTATTGTTGTTGTTTTATTTTCTGATTCAGTGAAAACAAACCATATCTGCTTTGACTGTGTTCTGAATAGAAGTCAGGGTCTAAGATACAGAGATGCTGTAGAATTGATGTCCCTTCAGAAGCTCACCCCTCACCCAAACTCATTGCTTTTGTTGTTGCTGAGGCTGCATTAGTGAGCCTATCAGTGGCCTTCTCTGCTGTCAGTCTTCTAGAGAACTTCTCACAGATCCATGAGCATGGATCTGCACTGCCTCTTTCGCCATTGTGTGTGGTGGATATGGTCGAACATGGGCCACTGGGCATACTCTGAAGTCCAGGTTTGGAAGGTCTCTCTCCCCCAGCTAGACTACAGGCTCTGAGGATGTGACTTCTGTGAATGAGCAGAGTATAGAGCTAGGCCAACAGCAGAGCTCAGCAAACCTCATTCCATGCAATGTTCCCATGGGCCTGTCTAGTCCTTGGCCTTCCAGTCCCTTGAGATGCTGACATTTTCCTTACTTTCTTAAGTAAGATGGTCCATGGGGGCCATCTTCCCTGGAGACTATGGGCAAATATGAAGCCTTTGCCAGGCCTGCCTAGTCTCCACCTCTATCTATAGCTGGGCTCTCATGCTACCCCTAGTACTCCATCTGTAGGCACTGCCCAGCTCCAGACCTCAGCAATGGCCTAGAATGTCCCCAGGCATCTTAGCCCATCCTCAGTGGCTGGACTATGGTTTGTCTCCAGAAAAGCTTGCCTTATACCCTGGGGCTATGCGCTATCACACTAAACTCTGGGCCTCTTATCCTGTGACTTCCAAGATAAGCCTGACTTCCAGTGGCTGTAGTCTGTTCTTGGTCAGGAGCTTCCAAGGTCTCTGGCCCAAAGGAAGTCATCAGTTTGCACTCAGCAAAGACTCAGACACAGTGTATCCACTAATCAAAAGCTTATCCAAGAAATGCTTATTGGATAATGGGCCAGAATAGGATACTCTGAACCTGTAAGTCAACATGCACTTCATGGAACTCCCTCACCATGTTAGTCTCTGGTAGATTTGATTAGCTCTTGTCCAAACCCTGAGAAATAAGGTCATTCAGCTTTCCTTCATGCTGACTTAACTGAGTCCCCTAGGTCTGTGCACAGCCTCCACCCCGAGCCCATGAGTGTACTCAGCTCTCAGCCCCTGGGCAGAACAGGTTTGAGACACACTTCCTTAATGTGCTCATTATGTGTCTCATCGCTGTGACAAAGCACTTGGCCAAAGTCACTTAGGGAAGGGTTTCTTCTGGCTCACATTTCTAATGCACAGTTCATCATGGCATGGAAGAGTGGCAGGGGTGTGAATAGTTCATCATGACAGGGGACAGTGGTAGGGGTGTGAACAGTTCATCATGGCAGGGAACAGTGGCAGGGGTGTGGACAGTTCATCATGGCAGGGGAGATACCATGGCCGGGGTACAAGGTGGCCGGCCACATTGCATCCACAGTCAAGCAGAGGAAGATGGATACTGGGACTGAGATTGCTGTTTCAGCCCAGGACTCCAGCCCATGAGATGGCACTACTCACATTGAGGTTGGGTCTCTTTGACTCAGTTAAATCTTTCTGGAAATATCCTTAAAGACCCACCTAGAAATATATTCTTATGGCCTAAATCTAGTCAGGTTGACCACGAAGACCAGCCATGAGACTTACCTCATCTTACTCAATAGGCCTTCAGAAACAAAGGGGGAGCATGCTCAGATCTCCCCATGGTCCATACAGCCCATGCATGTCCCAGCCCATCATGTAGAGACCCACAATGACTCTATATGCTAGCCGCAGGCCATTCCTCACAAGACGTGTGCTAAAGCAACTTTATCAAACGTCTGCCAGCACCTTAGCCCCAGGACAGCCAGAACAAACCGGGCAGAGAATCCTCTCTTGTGCTGGTCCCTAGACTCACACCTCCACTGTCCCCATTTCTGATGGCAGCCATTAGCCGATGGACAACCCTGCCCAGGACATGAGTCAAAGGACCCAGCAAAATCCCTGCACTGCTGCTGGCTGGTGAAGTGGCTTCTAGAAAGTCGCCACTCACCATGTGGCTCTAGAGCAGTGGTTCTCAGCCTTCCTAACGCTGCGACCCTTTAACATAGCTCCTCCTCTTGTGGTGACCCCCAACCATATAATTTTTTGTTGCTACGTCATAGCTGTGGTTTTCCACTGTTGTGGACTGTAATGTAAGTATCTGTGTTTTCCAGTGGTCTTAGGCAACCCCAGTGAAAGGGCCGTTTGGTCCTCAAGAGGTCTTGGGCCCACAGGTTGAGAACCCCTGCTCTAGAGCTTTGCCTTTGGCAATGGAGATGGCCAAGGATGAGATGAAGTCATATAAAGCATTCCTGGAACTTCAAAGGCAAAGGAAACTCCACGTGTTCCCACTGTCGTGATAGAGATGATACCTGGTGTAACATCCTGCTACCAAGATACGCCCTGGATGCCAGTCGCGAGGCCGAGGCTCATCGGGTCTGGAAGGGCAGTAGACATTGCAGGCAGAACTCCGGTCAGTGGCAGCTGAGGTCCCAGGCCTGCAACGTTCGCCTAGTGTTTGGGGGTTGTATTCTGGATGAATCAGAGCTCTGAGCAGAAGTGGCCTGCTCTGTGGCTTTGCTTCATTAGCACTTGACAGGTCTGCAGAGGCCTCAAAATCCACTTCCCAGGCTCCTCTAAGTGATGGCTGATTGGTGTCCACAGACCTGTCTTTCCTTTAAAAGTGAAAAAGCCCCGGTCATGTCTCCACCCCGGTTCTCCTTCTCAGACGCTATGGGCTGGGCTAGCCTTCCACTGGGCTCTTGGCCCACTTTTGGCCTCAGAGAACTTCCTATGATCTTGGGGCGGGGCCCAGTAGTTTGAAAGCGCCTGGGTAGCGCCGTCCAGTGAAGAGCAGGAGTGTTGAAACACTCATTTGGCATTGGAATTCAGAGCAGGCAGCTCTTCCCAGGGGAATTTTTCCCCTAGGCGTATTTAGTTTCCATTAATAATGTATTGAGTTTGTATACACAGGCTACTTGTGCTTTTTGATGCTCAGAGTTAGCGGCTCAGCAGTCCATTCTGGAAGCCAGCTGTGGGAGCAGGGCAGGGACCACGATGAGAACTGAATGCTGATTGGCCGTATCAACCATGTAAGCCCTTGAGACACTTTTGGCCAATTTTAATAGGAGATAACCAGTCAATTTCCATCTGTCATAAATTACAGTCAATGTGACAGAGGCACATCCATATGGCATTATGTTTCAGAAGAACTGGAAGTTCAGAACCACAGGCGTCTTCTCTATGACCTGGAAGGCCATGGAGGCCAGGCAAGGATGGAGCAAGCCTCCTGAGAACATTGTACAGGAAG